TCAACCCTTCCACCTCACTCCTCATAACAAAGCACATGCCCTTCACAAATTCCACCTCTTTTTCTAGCAATCCACTCGCCGGAAAACTAAACTAACTGCCGCAAATTAGGATAAAATTATGCAATATGAATATTTTTTAATGTTAAGAAGAAACGAACAAATTCATCAAGTAAAGAGAGAAAAATAGAGATTATAAACATTCAAGTTAGAGAGAGGGTAGCTTATAGAATATCATAACTGGAAGAAACGAATCAATCCATCAAGTTTTTATGTCTTAAGGTACTACTTATCATTCTAATCACATTTTGAACCAATTTTTTAGGGAGAAAAAACATGATTTGTGTAATACATTGTTTTGACCATTTCGGGCTAATTCACTAAGCTTCTCTATCTCTTAATTCTTTCATTTAGTTTTTTATTTTTATAAAATTTACTTTAATGTTCAACTATGCACCTTCTGAAATGCTTTTAGAGAGAGAAAGGACAAAGAGATAAAGAAACCCATACCCTATTCCAGATTTGTCAGCCATGGACATTGGGGACCTCTCAGGTGAGCCCCATAACCCTATTTCAGATTTGACAACAAATTGAAAGGCGTCCCATGAATCGTTAGGGCTATAAGAGGCTCTAATGGCGGGGCAAGTGGACCAAGCCGTTCTAAAATTTTAGAGAGAGATATGGAGTTTTTGAGATAGAGTGTCATTTTAGTGTTTGTTTGGGTAAAAAATATATAGTCAAAGGGGTCCAAGGGGGTTGTAAGATAGAAAAGATGAAGGCATTTTGCTTACAAGTAATATTTTCAATTATTGCGTCTCATGATATATAGAAGTTAAAAATAAGGGATAAGGGGATATTTTTCGAAGAAAAAAAAAAAGCATTTTGGCACAAAAATGCTTTGACTATTTGATTGAGGGTAAATACAAAGGAAAATAGCGTTGAGGTTTTAGGGTATAATAAAAAAAGTATTGAGGGGTAGAATGGGTAGAAAGTTGAAATTGGGGGTATCTATAATTTTCTGTAAAATTTATACATGCACTCCACTAGCTGGGTCTAGCTCCATGGTATTCAAAATGTATCAGGGCGACAAGACCTTGAAAGCATTTTCAAGTGCCAATAGCGATTTGTCTTGTCAATCGGGAAATATTTTTGTTAGCAATACCTGGAGATATTAGAAGTGAGAAAGCTGACATGAGTAACTGTTATTTATTTGGAACTATTTAAAAGATGGACGCGATTAGCATGCGGCCAGCCTGCATACGGTAAACAATGCGGGGTTGGCAATAAATATATTTATTGAATATAATTTGATCAAAAATTTTAGAGATTATATAATCTTTAACATGGAGATCATGAGTACGAATAAATAAATAAATTTTGAAAAATCGATATAATAATTATATTAAAAAAATAATTGGACCGTTAGTTACAATTGTTTTTAGATGGACCACTTATTTGCCTCGTCCATTTATTCCTGTGGACCGCATATTGTTGAAATACGGTCCAAACCGCATGAAACGATTGTTCTGAAAAGATTGAGTTGTTTGTGCTTACTGGGGGCTTCCTTTGAAATTTGATAGCATGCCTTGTCATCTATCTTGTATTAATTGTTTTGTTTTGTGAAAATTCTGAATACCCAGTCCAATAGTTCCCTTAAAAGGATAATGTATCTTTCCTACCTCTTGGGAAGTTTCTTAATCATGATTGAAAGCTAATGAAGATTGTCAAATTTTTCATGGAACTAGCTCACGGCACTTGGGCTAATGCACGATGGTCATACTAAGAGATCAAGTAGAAAATAATTTTTGAAATATTTAGCCTAATTGAAGATACTTTTTTTTCATTTAATTCATTTTAGTTATGCTTTTTTCTTAACTTTTTAAATTTCTGTCAAATATTTTAAAATTTTTCTCAACTTAGTTTTTTGGTAAGAGTAATGACCATATAATGCTCCAAGTAATTTTTTCTTTTTTTTATTCCGGTTCTATTTCTACTCCATATTAAATTATTTTTTCAAATTTGGGTTTAAGAGAAAACTTAAAAGAGATTTTCAGTGAGAAATGGACATGATTATTTTTTTTGGCATCTTTATCATTGGATTTGGACAAAGAGTTTAGACAGAGCTACAGTGAGATATTCTAGGAAATTTCAGAGGAAACAATAAAAGTGGTGATAAATATAAGGATGGGGTTTCTATGAGTCAACTGACCCATATGTACATATGCGGTCCCTCACTAAAATTTATTTTAGATTGATTTTTTTTCTAATTTTTATGTAGATTCATCTAGGCCAAGATAATCATAAATATGAAAAGAAAAATAAAATTTTAAAATTAAAAGAAAAATAAAATGTTAACATTAAAAATATAATGTTTTATTTTTTCTTTTTGTGCTATCCATATCTTATTTATGCACCGTTCATATTTTATTTATGGACAATACACCTTAGATAATGTCCATCTTAAGGATGGACATTTGTAAGTCAGTGGCCTCTTGTGCCTGCTGATTCATGAAACAATTTTCCCAAATATGAAAGTCAATCCTTTTTTCTTTTGGGAAATGTTTCGATGGAACCCCACCCACAAATATGAAAGTCAATCCTTTTTTCTTTGGGAAATGTTTCGATGGAACCCCACCCACATATATAGTTGTACATATGGAAGATACATGACTAGCCTTTTCTTTCTATGTGTGACTGGCTTGATACCACATATATAGTTGTACATATGGAAGATACATGACGAGCCTTTTCTTTCTATGTGTGACTTTCTATGTGTGACTGGCTTGATAAGCATAGTCGGATGTGATAATTTTTTCTATTTTTTATTTATGTTGACGATGGAAACGTTCTTGTTACCTGTGAAGTGAGACAAAGCTAGAGTTATTTAATCATACATAGTGATATTTGTGAAAAGAAAGTATATATTGTATATCTAATTAATATGGAAGATGTATATAGTGAACTGTATATCTGAGAAGATGACACTATGTGTTTTCCATTCCGTTATTTTAATCTTAGAAGATTCGCATTTTAAGATTTCTACCAATTCTACACTGTTGGCATTGGTTAGCATGCCTATCTAATTGTCAACAAATTCCCACTAAAATTAACCCATCTTGCATTTCATTTTTCCCAACTTTAGTGATATGGTTTATGTTTCCTCTTCTTCCTTTTTTTTCATTTCTTGTAATAGGGATAAGATCTTTAATGCTTTCTTTTTCTTTTTCTTATAGGAACTGATATAGTAAATGGACACATTTCTTGCAATAGGGATAAGATCTTTAATGCTTTCTTTTTCTTGTAGGAACTGATTTAGTAAATGGACATTATGCTTCCTTGGGAGCATGAAAAAGGATCATCGTGTATACTATGCCCCGGGAGTATACGTCTACAGCTACCACCTGGCAGAAGACTAACTTGGGGACTTTTTTTTTTTGAGACAAAAATTTAGGAACCAACTAAAAATCACTAAATCATTATATATTCAAAAGAATAAATTAGACAGTTTCTAATCAATCTTGAAATTGGACAGTTTCTATTGAATCTTGATGCATTATTTTTGTCAATCCCATGATAATGCAATTTTGAAAATTTCTTCATTCAGTATAACATATAGGTTTAAGAGGTTGCATCCTCAAAATTACTCCTAGTTTGGGTTTTGCCCGAGGAAGCAAACAAACATTATGCCCCCTCGAGAGTATGAAATATTTTGGCAAATGGAGAACTTGAAAAAGAAGGTAGGAAAAAACTAAGGTTCTCTTTAGAGACGAAAAAGTGCAAAGATATAGCGTTTGCGAGGATACTCTCCTAAAGGAAAAGCATGAAAATAGAAAGATCTCTTTACAAACAAAACATAAGGAAACTATGCAAGGAGAGGATAAGCGCACTAGCCAGTGTTTTTATCTATCATTTGTCGATACTTTCTAACAATTGAATACAAGATAGTGGTAGCACCTATATGCCTCAGTTATACGATATAGCTTTTATTTTCACTGGCACCTTCAAAATTTACTGATTACTTCAGTACTCGTCCCTCAATTACCCAAAAAAAAAATATATATATATACAGCTAATTATAAAAATGGATAGTACTCCCCCACTGAATTGCCAAAATAAAATAAAATAATAATATATGGCTAACTATCACTTACCATTTCAAAAAAAATGGGCAGTATTCCCTACTGAATTACACCCCCCAAAAAAAAAAAAAAAAACGACAAAAAGAAAAAAAAAGAGGCTAACAAGAACTCAAAGCTAGTTTTGGCACACCGTCATCCCCTATACCACCTAGAAAGAAATATTATATATAACAAAATATATAATGTTTGCCAAAAAAAACTTCCTTCTTCTATGAGAGTACACGATCCACCCACTCCCTGGGGCAAAACTTACATGGGAAATATCTTTTAGATCTCAAATTCTAGGGATGTGATCCCTAAAATGAGGCGATCAACTTCAAAAAAAAAAAAAAACTTACTCTAGTGACTGAAGTATTTTGTGCAAGGAAGCAAATGTATATAGTATGCTCTCGAGGGAAAATAATATGCTCCTACTAGTTTTTCTTTAACAAGGTGTTTCTTTTTTTAACGAGGTTATATAGAAATAGAACTTGAGACGTACTCCTATAAAACCCAGTGTCAACCCGTATTGACGTATTAGACTAAAGTACAATGCATCTTAAAAATTTGTAGAAGAAACCGCTCATGTTGGTTTCCATATAACACCGCCACTAGCTTAGAAGAAAAAATATTGACTGTTTACTTTTAGTACAAAGAGGTCACAACCATTCTCGTCCATCAAATTTCAAATCAAACAGTTATAGATGTATTTGTGACTAAATTCAAAGCTCAACAAAACATTTCTTGAACTTCATGGCACACCTCAAGCCATCGAATTGGCAATCTAATGGTTATGATTAATTGTGACCTCTTTGTACTAAATATAAATGGTCTGATAGTATACAATCCCAAGTTAGAATGTGTCTTCTTTGCAAAACTCGCATCAGCCATCCCTTAGAAAGCATGAGCTCTATTATCATCCCAACTCATTTTGTGATGATCTAGCACAAATGGACGCCAATAAAACGACTATCCATGCCATTTAAAGTCTAATCACACAAAGACCATCAGGCCTTTAGAATCATTTGAAAAGCCCAGTGTCTCCTGCATAAAAGGCACACGCACATTTTACATCTTCCAAAGGCATTATAAAGGTGTTGCTCATCTAAGAAAACAATACACCTTCAGTATTCCTTATTCCCAAAGTTCTTGCACCACATTTGTGACGGAATCGGGTGAACAGGGTGATGAGGACGTTGCTGCAAAAACAGCAAACACAATGAGTTCCAACATAAAATGAAGCATCCAATCATGGAAGACTAGCTTGGAAGCAATGTAAAGAGCACTACTATCCAAAATAGCTTAGAAATATCCCGAATATTAAGATCACGTAAAAGATGCAATACCCAGGTAATATCAGCAGATCATTCATCCATAGCACCATATTCAACTCCAGCATCAAGCCAACATTTTCTTTTGAGTATATGGGGAGAGAAGGCTGCTACCAAGGATGACATGTTAATGGACGGTGAAGCACCGTTACCACGAGATCTCACATACAAGAAGACCCTCATCAGGACTTCGGAGAGGAACTAGAGAGGCTGTAATTGAATTTATGTTAGGGCCCTTTACTGAAGAAGTCAATTGGTGGTTTTCAAGTCGTAGCAGGTACAGTTATGCAAGGAAATATCAGGCCAGGTGGCAAAGATAATGTTGCCTGCCAAGAAGACACCCATATAAAATAATATCATCTTTGGGCTTCCAAGCATAGGTAATTGAGTTCTACAAATTATAGGAATGCTGATTGCTGATTGCTCATTGCTCACAATCTGTGGCTTTTTAGAAAAGCAAGACCTTAGGTTAACTAAGAGTATATTGCAAGAGTGAGAGGTTATTGACTGTCGTAGTCAAGCAACAAGAGCAGAAATCTGTTCAGTCCATTGGAGCTTCAAAAACACCAGTTTCCTGTGACATATGCAGAATAGAAGAGGCTCTTAAGAAGCTCAGTACAAGGGTGGGACAACTCCAGTTTCCTGTTGTAGATAGTGATAAGCTAAACGATTAGCTTTTGGGGGAAAATAAATGACAGGACGAGGAGGGACAAAATAACGGAGATACCAAGAAATTCTAATAAGTATAATTACGTATCGGTTGCTTTTCATGTTTATAGAGAAAATCAATGGGGGTAAAAATATGAATGGGTATGGCAAATCAGCAAATGAAGAAATATTTGGCACGTGAAGGATATCTCTTTGGCATGAATGAATATTAGTAGATTATATGGGAGTTTGTTTGCCTCTTTTTCCTTTTCCTTTTCTGAGTGGAATTTTTTACTCTTAATATGTTTATTCTACAAGAACATGAAGAATAGTATCACCCACAAAAATATATGTTCACAAATCATAAGGATCTCATTGAGGAATGTTTAGTAGAGAGAGAGGTCCATCATGTTCAACAAATGATATACATAGCATAAGAAGTCAGTAATGGTGCTACAAGTAACATGGCACCCATGAAGGTGAACAAAGTGAAGTATAAATATAAGAGAGTAGATGGCATTGACAACACAAACCATAAAGATCTGCGTATATTTGTGCTATTAAATATACATGTTCTATTACATCTGTTTCATCAATGAATTAATATGCACTTTGTGCTTGCAATATATGTTATTTTTTGTCAATTCACAAACAAAGAACCATATTATTTATATCTTGGCTTTCGTGGGTTGACCTTTGTATGTTTTTAGGTTCTCAGTGTCCCCATTTAAACTATGAATGAGTGCTCAAACTGATAAGGTTGCAAGAAATTGATCAAGATATTGAATGAAGTTATCCAGGGAGAGCATTTTCACAGTAGTAGTCTATAGTGTAACTGGCTATCATTGATGCAAAACTTTGCATCAAATGGCTTCCACTATGGCCACCATCATCACCATCATTACTACCTTGATATCAGATCATTCGTATTGTTCCCGGATGAGTCACCTCCACCATCCATCTTGTCAATGCCATCTTCTTTCTTATATTTATACTTCACTTTGTTCACCTTCATGGGTGCCATATTACTTGTAGCACCATTACTGCCTTCTTATGCTATGTATATCATTTGTTGAGCATGATGGACCTATCTTTCTCTACATAAAAAACATTCACAATTATTTTTCTTTTGCTATATCAAATCCCTTTGTTTTAAAAAACATTCTCAATTATTTTTCTTTTGAATAGAAACAGTGTTATATTGATAAACAATTCATTCACAATTAGTATAATCTTTTTTGTTTACAAAAATGACTCTGCATAAATAGGGCTATACACTGAGTCTCATTGTTCAAAAAAGCGGACTGCCAAGGCAGCCGCCTAGGCAGTCCAGAAGGGCTGGGCACATCACCCAGGCCTAAGAGGCCAAACTAGGCGGCAATCACTGGGCGGCTGCCCAGGGCCTGCGCCTCGCCTGGGAGCGGAAATGAGTTTTTTTTATTTATCCTATTGAGCTTTTTTGAAATATAAAAGCTTTTAAGGATGAGTTTTAGCTTCATTTGAAACCTAAACCCACAAGAACCCATTTAGACAGAAAGAAACCTCGAAAAAACTAGATTTTGTGATTTTCATTGAATCGAAGTGTTTCTCAAAGTTACGAAAAATAGATACAAACATCACCCAAGCAAATTAGATTTAGTTTTGGAGTTTTTTAATCCTATTAGAGGGTGCGCGGTGGGAGTTTGGAGTTCGAGCAATCAAAGTAAGTGCAAAACTTTATTTTTTAGATTGCTTGTTTTATTTTGAGATGTCTTCTTCAAGATCTAGTTGAAGTGGAGATTTGGGTTGGAAATACGGATATAACCCGAATCCAAATGACAAAAATTGCATTAGATGCAATTATTGTAAAAAAGATACAAAAGGGGGCATAAACCGGTTTAAGAAACATCTTGGCAGCATTAAGGGGGATGTTGCCCCCCTTATATCAATATTCCTGAAATTATCAAGGAAGAGATTAAGCAATATATGAGTTCTGTAAAACAAAAACAAAAACAAAATCCTCGTCATTTGAATAAATCTATTTTTGGTTCTTTTAGAAGAATTGATCTGGGTTGGAAGTATGGTCATAACCTGAAACCAAACGATAAAAATTGTATAAGGTGTAGTTTTTGTGAAAATGATACCAATGGGGGTATTAACCGATTCTAGAAACATCTTGCCGGTATCAAATGAAAATGTTGCTTCTTGTAAAAGGGTTCTTGAAGCTATTCAGGATGAGATTAGACAATTTCTGAATTTAGAAGAACCAGAAAAGGATGAAAATGAGTCTTGTTCTATGGAAATATCTTCTCCAAGTTCTTCTAGAAGTGGTGATCCGGATTGAAAGTATAGTTATAATCCCAATCCGAATGACAAAAATCATATTAAACGTAATTACTGTGGAAATGATACTAATGGGAGTATTTACCGGTTCAAAAAACACCTTGTCGGTATTAAGGGGGATGTTGCCCTGTGCAAAAATGGTTCTGAGGCTACCAGGGAGGAGATTATACAATATTTGAGTTCAGGGAAGTACAAAAAGATAGAAAATGGTAGAGCAGCCAAGACTCCTAGAGCCTCATCTACACATAATAAGATGGAGGTAGAAGAAGAGGAGGAAGATGCAGATTCAGAAGAAACAGAGGAGGACAAGCGTTATATTGAAGAAGGAGATGACTCTGATGATGATGGCCTCAAATCTAATGCATATGATGAGGCTTACTCTATTCCTGATGATGATGATGACTGAAGAATGAAGAGTTAAAGACTCTTGAGTGCTTGACTCTTGGTGTTGAGTGTTGAGTGTTGACTATTGTGTCCTAAACTGTATATTTTCTGAATTTCTGTATATTTTCTTTTTTCTTATTTTTAGTTTCTACTATCTAACTTTTGTGTATCAGACAATCAGTATATGCTTGTATGGTTTTACTGTTTTAGCATTGTATGAAAATATGGATTATGGTCATCTCTTCTCGACTTCTTTCTTTTTTTTCCAACTGGGCCACCCAAGTTTTGGGCGGCCTGGACAACCACAGCCGCTTGGTTGCGCCTAGCACTTTTTGAAACACTGCTGAGTGTCAAAACAAGGTCACCAGCAGAGATGCCTTTGATACCCGGCCTACATCGGCTTCTTCATTAGCCTCTCTCCATCTATGTCTAAATTACAACATATTGCTCCTAATGCAGTCTCATATTTCCACAAAACATTTTGTAATTGCCAAGGGCAGCGCTCCCTCTAACTAGACCAACCAATCACATTACTAGATCCCCCCTTTATGAATTTTTGACTCCATCTTCTTATCCAAAACTTAAGACCATACAACAGAGACCAAACCTGAGCCTCATTCAGCCCACATTCATGAGGAGGTCCAGAATAAGTTAGCCAAATCTTTTCTTGGGTTCCCCTTAATAGTCCACCCACTCCTGTAGGAACTGCATTTCCACTAGAGCTGTTAGTAACAGAACCTTCCTCAAAAAGGTCCAAAGGATAAGCTGCATAAGCAATATATTGATTTTATTCCCCAGCAACAGGTTCGATGTGGTAGCATCGGCCTTTGCAACGATCAAGTGCTATCAAAGTTCAGCTTCATTGTACCTCAACGTGAGGACTCCACTTCATCAGTATTCCATTTCTCTTTTTTCTATCCAAGCAATTTCCTTCTACTGATTCTCAAAATCCATTACCCTATATTCCCAAACCTTATTTCACGACCTCACGCATGATATAACTATGATCCCCACCTCCTCTTGTTAAACATTTTACTTTGCTCTTAAAACATCTATTGTTTTACCATAGAAGCCATAGAACTGCCAAGACGCCTAGCCTCCACAAATCCAACAATATTTTACCAACATCACATTTAATGATCAGTAGGAAAAAAATCAATTATAACTAAGTTGGCAGAATCGGTAGATATTTTCAAGTTCATTTGTGTCTACTAGAAACAAAAATGAAGATCTAGCCTCTAAATGAAGTAACAAATGGTAAGGAAACAAGAACAATCTGTAGGAACCTGTTTCCGTGCATGATACATGTCCAACACAGGCACAGCAATCACACAGAAGAATCCTAACCAGCATGCCATCATTTCTATATAGATTCAGATGTGGCCCAATTTATATCAAACAAATTCAGGATGAAAGACCATATTTAAGGGAAAAGGCACACTGTAGAAGTAACTTGTATTTTCTGGGTCCTTTCGCACATATTTAAGGGCAAAGGCACACTGTAGAAGTGACGTACATTTTCTAAGTCCTTACACATAAAACAGAAGTTGGGGACGGGAATGTCTCCCTTAAATAGGTGATCTGACCGTAAGCACCATGTTCAATACTGCAAGCCATGCAGACGATTAACTCTTATAAGAACCGGGGATGGACCCAGTTCTTTAACCCTCATCGTTGTCTTCATCACAACAAGTGACAGTCCTATACATTGACCTCACACAAAACTCTCCTTAGGAATGTTACTCCTATCTTCACCTTTTGGTGAGAAAATAAACTGTTGCAAATCTTCTTGTGACCTTTTGACGACCTCGATTTCATTTTCTTTCAGTGCTTGGTAGCGCAGGGGACAAAGTAGCTTGTGATCCAGTGCCTTCTATGTTTACTGCCACTGTTACATTTGGTTTTGGGGCCAGGGTGAACAGCTCTGGATGACAGGATAATACTTCTTTCAAAGGTTGTGACCCAATCCACCTATCAAGCCAAAATCAAGTACTCCTACCATTCCTCACCTTCATTCTCACCTTTCATGCATAGTTTGCTCAGAAGCTAATAGTTCCATTTCACACTCCTGAAAATCTATCTCCTGTACAGTATCCTCAATAAGCAGTTAATAGCTCCATTCCACAGCCCTGAAAGTCTTCCTCCAGTTTAGTATCCTCTCACCAACCTCCCTGCTTCATCTACCCTGTATTCACCTGTTAGTACCTGTTTCATAGTTGTGCTGATCTTTCATTATTCTTTTTATTAATAAAATATATGAATATTGACCTACCAAGTCAAATCCAGACTATGCAAACCAACTTGACTCACCATAAGAGAAAGTTAGGGTTTTAAAGCATCAAAAGGTGTGTATGTGCATCCCAAAGTATATCTATAGAATCTCCTTGGGGGCTAGAGCATATGAAGGAACCATGCCTTTCTCATTGCACAATTTCACCCAGTGTTCGCAAAATCGAACCGGAACGGTTAACCAAATATGGGCCTGGAAGCGATTTAACCGGTCTAACCGGTAAACTAGCTGATTCAACCGGTCTAACCGGTAAACCAGCCGATTCAACCGCTCTAACCGGGCAAGTCCCGAACGATCAAAAAAGTGTTGAAAAAAATAAAACAAATACAAAATAAAATCTACTAAAATATGAAAAGCATATAAAGAATGTGATTAAAACAAAACACACTCAAATGAAGCTGAAAATTATTGAAAAAAATGGATTTTAATGAATCGATTTGTGCCTAGGGGTATTTTTAAAATTTTCTGAAAAAGATGGGAAAATATAAAAGTGAGTATCAATGACCACAATTTTTTTAATCTTTACCATAATGTAAATAATATTAAAATAGTGTTAAAAAATCGACTTGACCAACTCTTTTTTTAAAAGAAAATGAAAAAAAATTAGGTTATATACAATATAGACCATTCTTTTTGTAAATAAGCAGTAACTGACATATTGGTTAATAGATCTAATAGGCAATTAAATAGCTTATGGTGCATTGGTTAGTGGGTTTAATAACAAATTATTTCTTTACAAGAACTTTCAAATTAAATTCATGTGGGCAAGAAAATTTTTGAACTTCTTACCAATGTAATGAATTCTTAGAACTGTTGTAATGAATTCTTAGAATTGTTTAAATGAACCACACCAATGTTTAAAAAGAAAACTGCTGATGGAGGGGATTCGAACCGCGGTTCGTACAAAGTATAGTTGCCAGCTCTAACCAATACGCCATTCTAAAATATTTGATACAAATGTGAAGTAGTATTCTATTTAAACTTTAAGAAATTCGTTGATCACGAAAACCGCCCAAAACCGGAACCGGCCACTGGCCGGTTTCGATTTAACTGGGCGGTTAGCGACTAGATCGGATGGTTACATATTCTCACCAATACATAGTAGTCAATCCTAGCACAAACGATGTAAAGGTCTAGCTTTGAGACGAATGTAACAGACTCTAGCTTACTCCAAGACTAGACTTTCATTTACTTTTGCATCCAATTCCAAAAACTAATCCACCAAGCACAGCCACATATGAGATGCTCAATTACATAAATCACCAGCTCCTCCCTTCAATAGTTTTGAGGCCATAAATTCAACTACATTGTAGCCAACTTGGGATAACGCTTGGATGATGATGAAATTCAACTAAATAATTTTGAGGTCATAAATTCATAGAAAAGATCAAACAGAGTGACAGCCCTTATCTTCGAATAGGCCTTTCATTTCTTTTACTATTCCCCATCAGACTCAAAACCCCCTGCCAACACGGAGACAGAGGTTTACTAGTTTACTGGGTAACCTGGTAAATTAGGACACTCCATTAATCCGAAAACAAAGCCCCAAACTTTCTTCTCGATTTCCCAAACTTATAGCTCTGAAACTTTACCCCCAAACCTACTTGGTCTATTTCCCTCATGTTTTCCCCTGCATTATGAGTAAACTTATATCTCTCAAACCTACCCCCACCAACTGGTCCCAGCAGAATAAACCTGCCCATTTTTCCTCTTTGTATGTTATGTCAAGATATCTCTTTTTATTGGAAATATGTGAAATTCCAAAGAAAAATATGTGAATATCTAAAGCGTTTGGGGGTCCCTAAAGATTAACAAAGGATGCATAGTTTCTCAGCTTCTTATAAGTAGTTTGCCAATTAAATTGAAAGCCAACACGAAAAGTTTGCCAATTGAATTGAAAACTTTTCCAATTGGGAATATCAGTAAAGCAGCAAAGCCTTAAGCATCACCTAAAGTTGGAGCTAAAATTTTAGAGTTTCTTTCCCACTTGTAGTCCCTCTCTCTCACAATCATCTGTCTCAAGCCAAAACTAATTTGCACATGAATTTGGTATGACATATTCACGGAACCGAATAAGAGTTAAATCTCTAGTATTCATGGAGATGTGAAAACGCAAGAAAGAAACCAAGGAATTTCATCATATGAATTGTTAGAGAGAAGAGAATCAACCTCGAGCTCGGCCGATTTCATGGCAATGGGGATACAGATGAGAACAATGCCAGCCATGGCTATGGCAGTGTTCCTCTTCCAGTACTTGGGCTTACAGTAAGGACCTCCAGTCATACTCCACACCTTGGTCCTGTAATCAGCGTGAGCTCCATCGACATGACCATGGTCTCCACCCATTCTCTGAAAATCAAAAGCAAAATCAATCTAATCAGCGGCTATTTCTATATATCTTCTAGAGTTAGAATTGGTGGGAATTAGGTTAGAGGGATTCGAATTTACCACAGACGCAGAAGTGGGACTGGGGAGCAGTTAGATATATCTTGGCTTTGAAACAGAAATTATACCTTTGAAAGCTGCAAATGGGAAACTGAGCGTTTGATCATAAGTTTATAACCGGCGTGTTCAGGTCTAGTTCCGGTTCCCGATCCAGACTTGCCTTGATTAGATATCAGATCCGGACTTCCGATCTGCCATCCACTAAGTAGGGGTGGCAACGGATGTAGTCGGGTCCCGCGCGACCTACACCGGACCCAAAAAAACAAAATATCCTAGTATAACTTTAACTATTGGCAATGACTATATTTAAACAAGTATTTAACTATATTTAACGGACGAAGTTTTAATAGGGCCTAGGCATTATAAAAGCAACATAAAGTCTCACTTGGTATCCTCATGTGAAAAACTTCTTAGGATTTTAGTGATGGCTTTAAAATCAATTTGCAACGATGATAATAAGATTTGGACATAAAAAAAATCAATTTTTAACGTTGATAATAAAATTTAGGAAATAAAAAAATAGTACACATCTTGTGGATGTGTTAACGTTTATTTTTAAGAAGAAATAAATGGTGTATATGATTTGTGGCAATATACCTAGGAGTGGGTTCAAACTTATAACTAGTCTGAGTTGGAGTCAACCTAGGCCCGACCCAACCCATTCCCACGCCTATTCCCAACTTCCAAGCCCAGTGTCGGAAGGGTTTGCATGTTACCTTTTCGTGCAAGGTCATAGGTACCTTTCGATGTGAAGCCATGGTGAGCAGGGCCTTGGATGGGCCGCCCTTGGTCCTAGCCCAACCTTAGTCCTCATAGGGCCAACCCAGGTCCAGCCCTGCCCTAAGTGGGCCCAAAAGCCTTGGGCCAAGCCCTGATGTAGCCCTATTACGGGGGGTTGGGCAGGGCAAGGCCAACTAAATCGAAAAATAAATAATAAAAAAAACAAAAAAAAAAAGGGCTGGGCATGGCCGAACCAGCTGGCCTTAGACCAGGCCCGGCCCGGTCCTACCCTCGAGGCGCAGTTACCTGGCCCTCAGGCCACATGTCGTAGGCCCATGTCCTAGATTTATAGGGCGGGCTGACCAGGTCACCCAGTCCATTGCCACCCCTAGGGTCGTTTTGTGATAGATGTGATTAATGGTCCATTTTGAGCCACTTGATTTCATATTTGACACTTGAGGGATTGTGATTTTTTGAACTCAAAGTAAATGATCTTATTGTACATGTTTTCAAGTTAAAATCGTGACTATTACCCTACACAATGTTCCGTGGGGAGGGTAATGGGTATAAGCTCTCCATGCAGTCTTGGTTCTCCATGCCATCGCCTGCAACACCCCATCCCTTCTCACACACTGTCCAAAGACGACTGAGCTTCGTGCCCGGGACCCTAAACTCATAGAGCCCCTTGGCCATGGCTAGGATCCCCTTCAAAGCACGAACCGCACCCACTATAGACATTACTTGAACCATGCTGCTCCGAGTCGAGCCAGCAATCATCAACTCTGCACTAAACAGCCACCAAGCCATTACGACCGCCATGCCGGCCCACACTCCTTCCCTACCCTCTAGCTTTTTCTCGAACACATCTTCCAATACTGGCGCCACAAAGGCCTTGGACCAGAAAACTGTGGTTTGATAAAGTCCCCCTATGAAGAGCCACACAGATATGGGTGCAGAAACAGGCAAATGTCCCTTATGCCATGGAGGTGGCAATTCGGTTGCCTCGCTTACGTTGAGCCAAATGCAGAGCTCGAAGAGAGCAATGGAGAGCCAAGCCCAGCGGATGCGGGCGGCCGTCCAGGAGCTTGACGAAGTGGGGCAGCGACAGTCGACGAGCAACTGGAGGAGCGCACCTGTGCCTAGCGAGAAAATGAGCATGTGTAGGAGCACTGACTTGGAGGGATGGAATGCAGTGGTTTCGTGGGATGAGTGTTGCGACGAGGAGGGGATGGTGGCCGCGACTACGACGGAGAGGGGGAAGGTGAGGGCGAGGACCGTGTGGGTTAGCGCGAGAATGATGCTCGGAGCCCAGCTCTTTTCTTCCTGAGGCGGGTTGGTCAAGCATGTTGCACCATCCATGGCTGATCTGCAACTCCCTCTCTCTCTCGAATAAGCCTGGTTGATCACACGATTTCTTTGGTCAGTAGGTTGGGTTCAAGATATAAACATCTTTTGGTTGGTAAGTGGGCTCGGTTCTCTCTCGCTAACATTTGTACATGTATGTATATATAGAGTTTCTTTCTCTCTCTAGCATGTGTACATGTATATATAGAGTTGGCTTTGTTTACTATAAGATATATAAAGAGGGTAGGAAGCAGTGATGGTGAGGCTCCATGAAAAGAAATCAGAGGGCTGATCCCCAGGTTAAAGAGCTGACCATGTCGTGGGTGCCACTCACTCATCACAGTCGTGGGCTAGAGTCCTGTTTTATGCCGGCCCCTTGACCTTCTCTCTCATCGCCCTCTTTCTCTCTCTCTCTGTCTTATAGGTTGTTATCTCCCTCTCTCGTAGCCATGTGGAGGTTCTTAAATTTAGAGCGGCCAAAAGCTTACCGAACGAATGTTAAAGCCCAATGTGCGACTAAGGCATAGGGTGCGCTACCACTACATCCCTAGACCCTTTCTCACAATTCGCCTACATGGCTTTAGGAGTATAAGCAAACTCCGTGCAGTATCTCTACAACCTTTGAGTCTGGATAATGGAAAAACCTTAGTTAGGGATCCCAAGTAAAATATGAAATGCTTTACTTATAGGCGAAAATTACAAAGAAGGTAGATCAACCCATTTTTTTTTTTTTTTTCAAAATTGCCTATCGATCACCCAAATTTTTATTTTTAGTTTTTTCATTAGTAGGGCAGTGTCTTCAAGCTTGAGGCATAGCCCTACCAACTAAAAAATTGAAAAAAAATAAAAAAATAAAAAATTCAGGTTGCTCGAGAAGTAATTTTGAAAAAAAAAAAAAAGTAGATTGACCGACTTTCTTTGTAATTTCTACCTATAAACAAAGCATTTTATATTTTACCTAAAATTTTAAGGTTTGTACGTAAATCACTCGAAAATTTATCGACGGTTACTGTAGAATTAAAGTGTACCTCTAAAATTCTTAAAAATGGTAGGAAGAATATCTAATTGATCATCTCGTCACCAAGATGTATAGATATAGATAAAAAAAGATATTTCAAATCCTAAATATGAAAGGAAAGAATATATTATCTACAGGGTAATATGGAAGGTGTATATTGTAATCGATAGATATAGGAAGGGTAGGTAAAATATCATGTATTTTAGGTATAGTTTAGGTATCTGCGATTTACTTTTATTTTATTTTTCATTAGTAATTTATTTATAAAAGATAGTTATTTATATTCATATGATTAATGGACAGTAAGTCTCTTAAGATAAACTTGAGACTCTTCACATGGTATCAAAGCCGCATCTATCTTCGATGTGTCTATTCTTGTAAGATCGAATCAGTTACTCTGTTACTCAATTCTGTTTTTTTTCTGTCGCTCTTGTTTTTTTTTGTATGATCGAGCCTATTGTTTTGATACTCGATCTTGTCTGTCAGTCAGTAAGCTGCTGAATCGACTATTTTTCTGTCTCTGGAGAAGATCTAACATTTTTGTTTGTTTCTCAAGCCTATTTTATTCGAGCACTTCTATTTCTGAGGCTTTTTAATCTGCCGTTGATTGAGCCTGCCATGTTTTGTTGTTCCTTTATGCATGTTGATCCAGCAATTTGAGTTTGGTAACCATTGCTTTCTTTTTTCTCACGTTATACACTTGACGATCCAACTGCTTGTTTTTACAACTTAGTATTCAAACTCTAGCTACTCTCTCTCGTGGCATCTTGAGGGAGACTGTGTAAGGAAAGCATATATTGTTTACTAGGTTAATATGAAAGGTGTGTATCGTAATCAATATATATGGGAAAGGTAAATACAATATCATGTAGTTTATAGCAAGTCTAGGTATAGTCTAGGTCTCTGTGATTTATTACTATTTTTTTATCATATGTAATTTATCTATGAAAGACAAGTCTGTATATTCATGTGATTAATGGGTTGAGTCTCTTCAAAAAAACCAGAAACTCTTCACATTAAAATTAGTACATCTTTCAACACATTATCTAAACTGTCCATTTTCAAGATTTTCATTCTCTTATAGATATGCTTGATTTAGACTATTTTTAGAGTTTAAAATTTTATAATTTGAGATAAACATAGATTCTTGCACCATCCCAAACCACCAAAAGTGCATGTCATGGCGAAGATAGGAGTTGCACCTGTCTTTGAATGTTTATGGTTCCAACCTTATGCAAACCACACCCTTGGATAATAGAAATGATCTAATAAGTCTCTAAATTAGCTAAGTTAATAGGACTTTTACTCATGGGAAAAGCCTTCTTTAATTGGACACGATATATTAAATATAGCGTTTTGGTCCATCAGCCTACCCACTTGCTCAAATCCATCAGCCTCCAGATATCCAATTTAGAGATGGATTTCGGATCCAAAATTTTACAGATTGAGAACCTGAAAAATATAAATTTTAAACCTCAAAAGAGTCAATTTCGAATTTATTTTTGTGAACTTTTCATTTTAAATCTTCACAGACCAGGATATCTCACTGTTAATGGGGCTACACATTCATGGATGCAAGGCATAAACATATTAGCAGTGATTTTGGGATGTGCTAAATCCATAGAAAACGTGGGTGGATCATGCATTCTTCGACACGAACTTAAATTATTCATCATTAAATTAAAGGAAAAAGTTTACATAATCTTGCAATCTTAAAATATAGAATTAAAGACGCACCTCAAAAATCCATCGGAAAACGGTTGTTTTAATGTTAAAAAGTCCTCTAATTGATCATCTCAACATCGAGATGTATACATATGAAAAGAAAAAGAAAAATATTTGGAGTCCTGAAAGTAATGCATTTTGCCACACATTATCTAGAAAGTCCATTTTCAAGATTTTCATATATTTATGGTTTTACTTGATTTTTACCACTTTTGGAGTTTAAAATTTTATAATTATAGATGAAATTATATTTTCAGATAATCTTGATAATCTTTTACGCTAAAATTACATGTTATAATAAAATTCGGAGGTGCGCTTAAATTGGATTGTTCAAAGTTGTAACCTTATACAAACCACACCCTAAATTAAAATGATAATTTCATGTAGAGGAGATCATAAAGATAAATGGAGTTGTTTGTTTATAGGTGTTGACAATTCCAAAACGTCTAATGTTCGAAAC